CTCTGTGTAGCCCTGGCTGTCCTGGAACTCACTCTGTAGACCAGGCTGGTCTCAAACTCAGAGATCCACCTGCCTCTGTCTCCCGAGTGCTGGGATTAAAGACATGCACCACCACCGTCTGAAATGATGATCCAAAATTTTAATGAAGGGTACCCAGAAATATCTGTAGATGCAGAGATTGTACGTTTTACTAACACAAAGGAACTAAAAACAAAGTGGGCTCTTTTTTTTTTTTTTTTTTGAGCATCAAAACAATGGAGGTGCTTGGGGAGTTGAAATGAACTGAGACTAAGAATGAACAGCTCTGTATGTCCCTTAAGAGTAGGAATCCATCCTGAGGGGTGCAGCATAGGAGGTTCCAACAAGTGTGACCATCACAGAGAAACTTAAATAATCTGAGACAATGATGGCTCCACCTCATACACCACATGCTGTCCAGTGTGGACTGGCACGCTGTCATGCTGGGTATAAATACAGAAAACTTGAAAACCCACTGCAGAAAGAGACAACGGGAACTTCCTACAGCAAAGATGAGTCAGGCGAGCACCCAGCTTACAGCGTACACAGTCACGGCTGTATTTCCTCTAATGCTTCTTAAACAATGTGCTATTTGATACTGCGATTTTTATTTTTGTATTTTCTTACTAATAACATGGTGATATAACCCATCTAAAACAGGGACACTGAAAGGTTTCTGTCATTTCTTCAAAGAGCGCTCTAAACAAAGGAGGGAGAAATTGGAGGGAGAACGGAGAGGCAATAAATGATGCATCTAGATTATAATATATATAATATTTATAATATTTACATATATATATATATATATAAGTCAAAAAGAAAATATACTCTGAAATCTGTATGTAGAATAGAGAACAACATTCCCAGAAAATACGATATGGAAAAAGGGCACGTTCCACTTTATCAACTGGGCAAACAACTGGTTAAAATAAATGAGGTCTGAAAGAGAAACATTTTTTTCTGGACAGTGGCGCAAACATTCTGCATCAGGCAGAGACTACAAAAACGTTTGTTGATAGGAAAAAAATCCTTTGGGGAATAAAGTTGATGATACAACAGGCTCTGAAGTGGTCTAGTGTTTATAAGTTCATCTGTCTGTCAGTAACGACAACAAAGAAGAGGAAGGAAGATTCCAGAAAAACACTGGGGTGGCCTGTTTTTCTGCATGGATCTCTGAGGGGACTCTCTATTAGAACTGCATACTGGAATCTGGTCTGTGTCATGCAAGGCGAGGTATCCCCACCACGATCTTTTCCACCCTGAATTGCAGATAGATAAGTATGTGCAGAATTCAGTCGCCCAGCGCTTGCCACACGTAGAAGACAGCAGGGTGCACCAGGCTCTCTCCATCTCACACCGACAATTAACTTGAGTACCCTACCTTGTCTGTGCCACAGAATCACACAGAAATGATTTATTTTATTTTAAACAGAATTTTCTCTTTCCAAAGACACTTGCTGGCTTTTGGTTCTGCTATTCAGTAGGAAAAAGCTTATGCCAAAACAAGCCTGATTATTCCTATCATTTTGTTGTTGTTGTTGTTTTCTTTTGATTTTTACTTTCTGAGACAGAGTCTCTCTACTATGTGGCCCTAGTTGTCCTGGCAGTTACTATGTGGACCTCAGACTCACAGAGATGCACCCGTTGTGTGGCACCATGCTCAGCTGGATTCTTGCCATTCTTAGCTTAAAAATTGTTTCTTTTTCTCACTTTTCTGAAACACAGACAAGATCAAAAAGTGAATTTTGAGAGCTCTACAAAGTTATCAGGTGCTCCTAATCATTTACACGAGAGAAGAAAAGGGCTTAAGAGACCCTTCCCGGGAAATAGACAAGATCTCCTGAGAAAATTGGGAGCATGGCAGGGAAGAAGGGAGGGCAGAGGGGGAGGAGAAAACATGAGGGAACAGGATGATCACGATGGGGGAAGGACAGAGAGGGAGAGTAAGGAAAGAGATATCTTCTTGTGGGAGCCATTATGCGGCTAGCATGAAACCTAGCACCAGGGAAATTCCCAGGAATCCACAAAGATGACCCCAGCTAAGACCCTAAGCAATAGTGGAGAGGGTGCTTGAGCTGACCTTCCCCTGTGATCAGATTAGGGACTACCTTAATTGTCATCATAGAACCTTCATCCAGCAACTGATGGGAGCAGATGCAGAGATCCACAGCTAAGCACTGGCCAAGCTTCCAGAGACCAGTCGAAGAGAGGAAGGAGCAATAATATGAGCAAAGAGGTCAAGACCATGATGGGGACACCCACAGAAACAGCTGACCTGAGCTAGTGGGAACTCACTGACTCTGGATTGATAGCAGTGGGGGAGGGGGAAAACCTGCATAGGACCAAAACTAGACCCTCTGAATGTGGGTGACAGTTGTGTGGCTTGGGCAGTCTGTGGGGCCACTGGCAGTGGAACCAGGATTTATCCCTGGTGCTTGAACTGGCTTTTTGGAGGGACACCTTACTCAGCCAAAATACAGAGGGGAGGTCTTTGGTCCTGCCTCAAAGTGATGTGTCAGACTTTGTCGACTCCCCATGGAAAGCCTTACCCTCTCTGAGAAGTAGATAAGGGGTGGGGTGGGAGGAAAGGAGGGGGAGCAGGAGGAGGGAAGCGAGGGAGAACTGGGACAGGTATGTAAAATGAGAAAAAGATCTTTTCAAAATAAATTAAAATTTAAAAAGTTCAAAAAAAGGTAAAAAAAAAAAAGTGGGGACGCTATGGAAGTCATATTGGCTCAAGACATAGTGGAATAATAGAACAAAAGAGAAATGTAATGATAAACCCATTAATGTTTTATCAAATTCCTGGGAAACAGCAACATCCTGGTAATAAAAAAAGTTCATAACAGTTTAAAAAAAAAAAAAAACCCTTCCCCAGGCCTGTGCTCCCTAACTAGCTATGCTTAGAGTGCCGGAAGTGCCGGATATCTCCCACCCACCCACCACCAGCCAGCCCCGCCCCCTTCCCACGTAGTTTATCAAAAAGACATTGTTGAATAAACCATCTCCAGGTCTTCCTTCCTTCTTAGGACAACTTACTAGTAAAGGACACATTCCCGTGGGAACTCAATTTCACATTCTCAAAGGCCACTCACTGCAGTTTCTTAGGTGAGTATCATATACTGCCGTTTCCTCTTTGGTCTCCTAGCAAGCAAAACTTTATACCATAATATTTGTTGCTGATTTTTAGAGACTGTTTGGTGATGATGTTTACAGATGTGTTTACATGCTCACTGGTCTCTGATCTTTTTTTTCTGAGCCCAGAGCAGAACTGCTGAAGACACAGCACAGCAAGGCGTGGCCTACAAGCTTCTAGGGCTTTATAATAGAACCTGACTCTGAGTCTTGACGGTGCATGACCTGCAATGGCGTGCTGGTGACGGGGCACGATAAGACTGATGAATAAGACCAGCATGGACAAGAAACAGATGCATCTTTAGAACATGAACACGTGGATCTGCAAAGCAACTATGTCTTTTCCTATGAACTACGTTAGAAGAAAAATCGGATCAGAGAAGTCACACTCGCGGGCTTGGGACCAGATCGCGGGAAGGTGGATCATGGAAAGTTTAACTACCTCTTAGTCAAGGAACTGGAGTTGTGTCCAGCTTGGATAGGCACTTTCAACATTTGTAACACACACACACACACACACATACACGCACACGCACGCACCTGCTGTGTTAACATGTAACCTTAAAGCTGTTTGGACTTTTAAAGGTCAATCTATACGTAAGTATTGCTCCACTAGGGTGTTAGTTTTAAATTTTAATCTTCAGAAGTCAGTTATCTTTCCTTTATTTCTACAATCTTGGGAGCATGCTATTAGGTCAGGCTGCTTTCTCTGCATTAACCGTGGAAAACTAGGCTACAAAATAACATATTTTTTTTCTGCCTCTACTGTGTAGTTCTGGCTGGCCTCAAATTCAGAAATCTACCCACCTCTTGAGCGCTGGCACTACAGTGACGGGCTGCCAGTGCCCAGCAATGCTTGCCCTGCTCTTAACGAAGCGTGTGATACCAAGAAGTAAACACACCAGTAACAGGGAACACCACTGTGTGGGGAAAGATCTGGACCATTCCATAATAGAGTTGTTCTTTAAGCTTTAATCTTTGTATGCAAATGTAAGACCCCAGGACAAGGATTTCTGCTTTGCTCACTGGTTTATGCCAAGTGACTAAACTATGTAAGTGCTCAATGAATATTGATTGAATGAGCAAACAAATTAATACAACCTATAGTCTCAACTATGTAACTGAGGAGTCAAAATACGAGGAAATAAGACTAAATATACATTGTCAGTTGATGTCTCTCGGTGTATGAACTTTTAACATTCTTTCACTTTTATGTGTGTGTGTGCACACCTGTGTGAGTGTGCACACCTGTGTGGGTGTGCAAGTGTGTCACAGTGTGGATGTGGAGGTCAGAATAAAGTTTTAGAATTGGTTCTCTTCCTTTCCCATGTGAGTTCCGGGACTAAGAACTCAGGCTTGGTGGCAAGTCCCTTATCCACCGAGCCTTTCTGTCAGTCCGCCTGCTGACTTCAGCACGTCCTTCTTAGACAAAGGATTCTAAGCCAGGTGGTGGTGGCGGCGCACGCCTTTAACCCCAGCACTCAGTAGGCAGAAGCAGGTGGATCTCTGTGAGTTAAGGGCCAGCCTGGTGTACAAAGTGAGTTCCAGGAGAACCACAGCTGTACAGAGAAACCCTGTCTCAAAAAACAAACAAATAAAAACATAAAAAAAAAACCAACCCCTCTCCCCAAACTGGATTCCAATGATTGAAAAAAAATACTGTATAGCTAACAAAATGTCTGACATGCATGCTGGACTATATCAACACAAAGTTTTTAACTTATAATTCTAAATTTTCTCTTTCCTCGGACATTTTATTCTTTAATTTACAATTCACACTTGAAAATCGTAAGAAATTTTTTTTTCTTAAAGAAATTCAGAGTGTTAAGGCAATGGGAAGATCTTACCTATGACTTTGTTCTTCTTCCCGTTTTTTATAGGCGTGCAAAGCAAACTTCCAGTGCAGTGTGTGTTTGTACGCCCTGTATCTTCATTCTAAAGGACAAAAACAAGACTACTAGAAGAAAAGAAATGACTTCTCTCACAACCATAGTCTTAACTACATGGCACATACAGAATAACTCAAGCATTCGTCTTGTATTATCTACAGGGAACCAATTATAATGAGGTTTGCATGAGGACAACATAATCAGTCTTTATTAGAATAGTACCCCAAATTTCCTTTATCCCATTTAAACTTTCCAAAGAGTTTATAGTAATAGTAAGTCAAATATTTATTCAGTACCTGCTAACCTGGTGAGGTAGAGGCCTCAATCTAACAAGAAAGCAGAATCCAAAAGCCTGGAAACAACCCGCTACAGTACTGACCTTCTTAATAATAATACCACCTTACCTGAAGTCTACACTTCTGTTTGAAAAAAAGTTGTCCTAAGTGTGCAAGCAACAGAATCAAGGCAGTTTGCCACAAGCTAATATTTTTGAAAGATGAAAGAAAACACTGGACTTCAAAGTGTTGACTGTCTGAAGAAAACACCTCTGGAACTTGACTGCGGAGGCAAATGGACAGCCAAGGAGCACCTCATTAAGAGGACCACCAATTGTGTTAATCTAAGCCACAGGGACCTCCATGTTTACAGATAAAGTCAGAAAACCCATCTAAGTAAAGCCACCGATACCACAGTGTTAAATTACCTCAGCAGGTACATGCTGACTTGTTGCTATCCCAAGAGCCGAGAAAAACATAAGAGTGCAGCTTCCCCAGCGAGTTTAGAGCACTTTATCATCCGTTCCTTGAGCAGAAAAAACAGAGATCCCCCACTAAACAGCCAGTTTCCAGCCCAGTCCTCCAGACAAGGAGCAGCTGCAAGCGGAGGTCTGAAGGGAAAACAGCCTGTGTGCATCAGGTCTCAAATGAGGTTACTTACTGTCCAGGGAAATCTCGTGTCCTTAGCGACATCTGGTATATTAAGCGGCTCCATCGTGTTCTTGACATACTGAGCATACATGTAATTGATTTTGCTTGCATCATGTTCCCTGCAGAAAAAGGAGAAGTGAGTTCCTACTATGCAGTGGGAAAACATGAGCACACAGGACTAAACAAACGGGCAGGGGAGGAACCAGCAGCTATGGAGTACCGGGGAATCTACATCTTAATTTGAAAGTGTGTTAGATGAGATGATTACAGTTCAGTCATTACTCCAATCTAGATCGTCTGATACAGCAAACACCCACACAGTTTGGACTGTCTAGAAGACCCTTCTGGGGTGGGGGAGTCACATATCAGACATCCTGCGCATCAGATATTTCCATTAGAATTCATAACAGCAGCACAATTATAGCTATGAACAAGCAATGGAATAATTTTATGTTTGGGGATCACAACATGAGGAACTGTATTAAAGGTGTGTGGTATTAGGAAAGTTAAGAACCACTGGTCTAGAACAAGTTCTCAGAACGTCCTTAGTTGTCCAATCACACATCAAACACCTGGAACTTAAAAACATTTAATACGACATCTGAAAAGCTTCCAAATCCAGAACGTGGTCAATACTGATAGGCGATCACTGGTATAGAATTCCATGCCTGACTTCATGTAATAATTGCAATTGATAGGTAGGCACACTAAAAATATTGAATAAATTACCTCCAGGCTATGTTTTTGAAACAAATAAACTTCCTGGTTAGACTTACATACCAAGATATCTCATTATGTATATACAAATATTCTAGTATCTAAAAAGGTCCTGACTCAGAGAGACATCTGTCCCAGGCACTCATATAAGCAATTCTCAACATGCAATAGTGTAAAAAATCATGTTTACTTTTTTGTGCCATTTAATGTAATATTTGTATTGATTCTCTCACTCCATGTTTTATTTTATCTGACCACAGAATGCCTAAGGTGTAGGACTTCTGCTTCCTTAATCACTATTTTGTGAGCCCCTATGTCAATAAGACAATCTTTTACAAAAATTAAAATTAAAGGAAATGTCAAGAAGGCACAAAAGAATTTTAGGAGGTTCTCTCTGGTTATATATCTTCTTCCTGGTATGTGTGTGTTTCTGTCTGATATGCCTATTTTAATTATAGTTTTACTAACTGAAGAAATGGAAAAGTAGTAGGTGATATTTAAAAATGAACATATGCTGTTATAACATACTGTACATATATTTCTACTCTTGCTCAAGGTATTGTATCTATACAACTCATTTAACAATGTAATGCAAATTTCTAGTTCTTAAAAATTATTGTTACCAACTGTTTAGGATAATAAGGAAATGCAGCTTAGTAGTTAATCACATAGTATAATCAAACTTGTAGTCACATCAGGTATGTTTTCAAGGTCAAACAAAGATGTATTTTAGATAGACAGGTCATCTTCAAACACTTCAGAGATCTACAGAATATGGTGTGTAAGATGTTTTAAGAACCTAGGTTCTTCTTTTTTATGACAATGATTCATGTCTGGTCCTGGCAGCACCAATCTACTTCAGAGAAGATCACGGGCAGGAAAAAATGCCACATGTAGTTCACTTTCTTTGTGGTAAAAGTAAGCCACTGGACAAGAAAATATCCCTGCCTCAACTGCTGGCATTATGCTGTCCTAATTAGACAAGCAGGACACAAAATATCTTGTTTCACAGAATAGTCTGTTGAATATGCTAGGCCTGTAGGCCAAATATGGATGCCCCAATGTTGCAAAGGAACTTAGGGTGACTGTCTAGGCAGCCAGCTGTTTCTGTCATTGCTCACACTTTTTGGAAGTCACCTGCTTGCACTTCCTGCTTACTTAGTTAATATTATTTCCTTCTCAGGTCTCTGAGGGAGTTGAAGATTGATAGCTATAGTTATGGTTTACCAGACACAGAAAACAAGTTATGATAAAAGTAAATTAGGTATAAGACTTTAGGCTCATGAAGATAGAGTAGATATGAAACATTTTCTCTGAATTTGTCATATGCAAATGTACTAGACATTGTTGATGTATTTATTGCCTGTATATATGGTAGACATTGTACCTATTGTATATAGTTTTCTTATATTCGTCATAGCCTTTTTTATTTTAGACAAAAAGGGGAAATGTAGTGGCATTTCAAATGTATTTTAATAAATAAAGCCTGCCTGAATATCTGAGAGTAAAACAGTCCCACTTGTTAGCCTTACAGATCATGTAATGGTAACACACACCTTTAATCCCAGTTGCCACATTAGTTGCCATAGAAACTAGGTGGTACAGGCCTTTAATTCCAGCCCTAGAGAGAATCATGAGATGAGAGGGGACAGCTCTCAGACACAGTCTCATTCTGAGATTCCTGGAGGCAGGATAGCTATTTTGGACTGAGGTCAAGGTAAGAGCCAGTGGCAGGATGCTTTGCTTTTTGGGTCTTCAGGAAGAACCCAAAATTTCTCTCTCTGAGTTTTTATTAATTGTGCTTCAATATGCCTTAGGTATGAAATACCTCCCGAAGTTATTGGTAAGTGAAAGCCCCCTCCCTGAGACGTAGATTTCATGGGTCCAGAAGGTACCGTGCAAGCTTCCAAAGGAAGGCAGCAGCCAGCAATTCTACTTAGCTATGATGCCTATGAATCACAACAGTGACCAGCATGGCGGGATAACCAGTATGGGGCCCAGCCAAGTATGGACAGGTCACCCAAAGAAAGTTCTTTATTTCCAACCATTATCACCTGCCAGAGTAGAACTCGGTTGGTGTATGAGGTTCTTCTGTTTGTGTGTTGCTTTCATTGGTTGAATAAAGAGACTGCCTTGACTTTTTGATAGGGCAGAATTTAGATAGGTGGAGTAGACCGAACAGGATGTTGGGAAGGAAGACAGAAAGGAAGATGCCATGGTTCTCCTGCCCGAGACAGACACTGGTTAGAATCTCTCCCAGTAGGCCACGACCTCGTGGTGCTACACAGATTACTAGATATGGGTTAAAGCAAGATGTGAGAGTTAGCCAAGAGGCTAGATATAATGGGCCAGGTAGTAATTTAATTAACACAGATTTCCGCGTTATTTATTTCGGGCATAAGCTAGCTGGGTGGCCGGGATGACAAGCAGCTCCAAGCAGCCTGTCGGCCCAGGTGTAAGCCAGTTGGGCGGCGGGGCACAACCCGCTGCTCCTCATTACAACACTCAGCCCTCCATAAATTTAATAAGAGGCCTGAGTCTCAGTAGTTTACCCTGAGGCAATACCTGGTTGCAGGACCTGAACACCTCCCAAGAACAGACCATTCAAAAGAGATGCCTGGCATTCCAAGTGCTGTAGACAGGATTACCTGCCAGCATACATTCACCAGGACACCCCTAGACAAATGTCAGCCAATCAGGGGTCCTGAACCTCAGAAACTCCTCACCCCCCCCACACCTTTACTACGATAAAAACCCAATTCTAATTGAACTCAGGGCTCTCTGATTATTCCAATACATTGGACATGAGGAGAGGCCGAGTTTGCAAACTTGATTAAAATAAAGGCTCTTTGCTTTTACATACAGTACTCGGGCTCCTTGTTGGCTTTTGTGGAGACTTCACAGATTTGGGCACAACACCGAAAGGTACAGTAGTTGCACGAATACCTTAGCGGTACTCAACAGCTCTCTAAGTGGACTTAAGATTCACTCAACAAGAGGGAACTCGTGCCTGGTACTGGAAACCAAGCCAACAATGCAAGGTTAGTAACATCACGGATCTTGGAGGAACACCTGCAGTCGCTGCTCTTGGAAATCAGCATAATTTTTAACTACATTCTCAATATTTGTCCTCAGGCCATAGACGAATGTTGTTCTCACTCCTCAAAAAACTTTTTGCAGCAGATGGAGACCATTACAGAAAAACTACAACCAATCCAATTGCAGGGTTGTGGAGCCCAGTTCTGACTGATCCATCTATAACACAACTTCGGCACCTAAGGCTTGGGGAATCACTGTGGAAGATGGGTGGAAAGATTCTAAGAGCCAGGGGAGCGGGAGCCAGTGCTGGAGACTGTGTCTCTAGGAAATGTCAGCCCATAAAGTCTCACCAACGTGACTGCCTCAACATGGCTGAACAAGGCTGACACCAATAGACATACTAATGTGGATGGAGGAAGTTCATGATGTCTCAATCAATCTGTTCCCCAGGGAAGAACACACAAACTGGCCATCCAATCCCAAATGGTCAGCCTTGAAAAATTTACATTCAAATAACATGACACTGACTATGCAGGTTGTGTTTCGGTATTTAGTAGCACACACACACACACACACAGAGGATGCACACACATGAACACAACAACAAAAATAGAGGCCGTGAATTTAAAAGAGATGGAGGAGGTGACGTGAGAAGGCTCAGAGGAAGGGAAGCGAAGAGAAACATGATGTAATTATATTAAAATTCAAAAATAAAAGAAATTATAAGATGTTAAAATAAAATATCAATCTCAAAAAAGTAAGAGTTATTGGCCAGGAAGACCCCAGAGGTCTCCAAAACAAGCCATCATAACTACATAGTAAAACCTCACGGCTGAAGACACCATATACTTTGCCTTCAAAATAGAGAAGAATCAACCTGAGACTAAGCAGGACTCCCTGCTGGCTAGTTGCAGTGTCAGAAGGTGCTGTGCAGGCTGCTGGGGAACAGAAGACATCTGGGTCTGCCAAGTGCCGGACTCTCACGTGCTGCGGCACAGAACTTCAGGCAATACACCCCCATGGCGCAACAGACGAAGGACTATCATGGGGGTAACTACTTGATTTCTGACTGAATCTGAGGCCAGCTCCACGGGAGGGGTTTTCATGCCTAGTACTGAAATTCAGGTCAGAAGTCCACAGTGAGGAAGGCATTTGACCCTAGGGAAGAAATTACTATTGTTGTTTTCTTTTTTCTTTTTTTAAATTTATTTTTATTTTATGTGCATTGGTGTTCTGCCTGCTTGTGCGCCTGTTTGAGAGCATCAGATCCCTTGGAACTGGAGTTACAGACAGTTGTGAGCTGTCACGTGGGTGCTGAGGATTGAACCTGTGTACTTTGGAAGAGCAGTCAGTGCCCTTAATC